CACCTTCCAGCTGCTGCTTGGACCCAGGGAAGATAAGAAAAACCACTCTGCACACCACCTTCCTCCCAGGAGTGATCCGGAAGAAAAAGCTCATCTCCCATCCTTTCTAGCAGTGCAGTACCCAATGGTTTTAACTCCTTTATGCTCAACCACAGAAGCCTACTAAGGGCTTTCTAGTCACTGATAAGAGGCAAAAATACAGGCTTGTATTTACATATTTATAAGATGTTTCACTGATTAAATTGCTACCAAGTCATTTTCCAGTCCTTGCAACCTATCTTTGCAATTGATCCACGTGCAATAGTGAAAAGTGACACTAAAGTAGGTTGTAAAGATTAGCTAAAAGCTGAGCCCTAAATGTTTCTGAAGTTCTTACAGAATTACATAGTGTTGGAAGAGACCAACTCTCCAAGCAGGAGATATTATACTGTTCCAAATGGCTGTCCAATCTCCTCTTTAAAAAACCCATTGATGCAGCACCCACAATTTCTACAGGCAAAGCATTTCCACTGATTGTTCTCATTGAAAGGAAAATTCTACTTGATGCTAGGTTGGATGCCTTTTTGATAAGTCTCCCTCTTTTACTCTTTGTGCTCCTCTGAGGGGCTTTGGTCCATCTCCTTTTTTTCTGTTTGAGCCCCTCAAATATTGAAAGACTGCTATGATGTAACCCCAGTCCTTCTCTCTGTTAGACTAGACCAGGGATCTGCAACCTTAAACACTCAGACCCTTTTGGTTAGGTTTCCTACAGGGAGGGAGGGAAGGAGGGGGAGAGGGAGAAAGATTAAAAATAATGGGGGCTTTGGGCTACCAGATTGGGAGCTTTATTATCAAGCAGTTGTATTAACATGGGTGAGGGAATGGATAAGACTTAGACACAAAATTACTGTTTTTGAAAGGCCTTGGAGGAGTGTTAGGATATTACATTTAGTAGCTGAAACAGTAAAATTGTACAATGGGCAAGAACAGGCAGCTCTAAGTTGATTGGTTGGAGAGTGCTGGCTCCTGCATGAGGCAATCTAAGCTATGATTGGTTGCTGTGGGTGTAAAGGGGGAGTTTCCCATTTTTCCCGCTTTCTCTCTCTCTCTGCTCTGTATCCTATTTGGATTTACCTCAGGATGTTTCTGTGTTCCTGACCATCTTGTTTGCTGTAAATATGTTAAATGTATTCATTTATACAAAACTACAATTTTGCCTCAGTTTCTCTGATTTCATTTGGAAATTTTCTGCATAATTTTCTGATGGAGGACTGTCCCCATTACACCCAGGAAAGGATCCTGGTGAGAAAAAACATTTCTGCTCTGGGAGGTCCCCTTCCTCTGGGACTCATGGAGGAGTTTGGGATTATGAGCGCACACAAATGAATGGCTTTGTGAGCCTGAGCTCTTCCCAAGAAGCTCCCATGGGGATCACAGTCGATTCTTAAAAGACCCCTCAACATGGTTTGGAAACTGCAGTTTCGTTTGGAGAAGGCTGAAACGGATGTGGCTCCTACATATTTGGAGCTAATAGACTCAGTGAATGATGAACTGGGCTTTCTTAAGAAGACTGGAGAATGGATCTATCATATCTAACTGGAAAACCATTTGGCAAATGGATTGACCAAGAGCTTTTATGATTTGGGGGAATAAGACACAACTGTTGTCTTATTGTGCTCAACTTAAATTTTAAGAAAAAGTTTTATTAGTAATAATCAAACAAAGATATATAGACTTAGACCCATTAAGGACTACTCATTGAGTACGGTTTGCCAGACAGTTGTGAGTCCATCTAGTGGTGGTGCTATCCCACTTTTTTCTAGCTTACTAAGAAGTAGGTTGTGGTCTACTTTGTCGAATGCCTTGCTGAAATTTAAATATATTATGTCCACAGTGTTTTGTTAAGAAACAACAGAAAGGGGGAAAGCAGAATAAAAGGGAGGTGGAGAGACAAGGGGTTAAAGAGGACAAGGAGAAGAAGAAGCAAGAGAGAAAGGAAGGGATGAGAAGTCCTAATGGTGGGGAGCAAGATGTTAAGAAGCAAAAGTTTTTTAGAGATAATGGATAAATCTTATTGTTAAAGGGATTCTAGAAAGGTACATAAGACTGCATTTTTATACTTGTATTTAGAAGTAATCATAGAAAATTAGAAATAATATGTAACTTAAAATGTGATAAAATATTTAACATAAATTAGTGAAATTTTTGGTTAAGAAAAAGGGAGTACTGTAATGAAACATGATTCAAGATTGTGATGTGGGGGGGGGGGTGTAATAATCTTTGGAAAGCATAAGTGTTCCCACAAAGGTATGATATTTAATTGAAATGGATAAAATGTTTAAGATATAAATGATTGTTAATATTAATGATTAGAATATGGTATACTAGTGAATTTTTTTGTGAAATGAGATTTGAAGTAGAAGGAGGAACATTTTAATGAAATATTGAGCTATAATATGTGATGTGGGGGGGGGGGGATAATTATGGAAAATAGGGCTCCCATAAAAGTATGTGATTTAATTGAAAAGCAATGAGTTAAACGTTTAAGATATGAATGAATATCAATACTAATGAATAGATTTGTATTATTTTTGATGATATAGTATAATTTTAGAATGTACCAGACAGAATCCCAATGTATGTCATGTGTTTTATATTAAGTATTATAAATATAGGGGAAAGAGATAAAGGCATCATACTCCATATAGTGTACAGGAGAAGTCTTTCTTCTTTTTTTAAAGAAGAAAAATAAATGGTTGGCTGGAATAGAACAGACAAAGAATAATAAATATTATGATACAAATTGAGAGGAGATAAATAAAATAAAATAAAATTGAGAAAATTTAAAGGAGAAGAGAAGTCATATAGAAAATTGAAAATGTTAATAAGATATGAAATGGTATGTAAAATGAATATGAATTTGAATTTGTGTCTGTACCAAGAGTTTTAACCCGGGACTAAGCAACTTTCAGAAAAGAGATTTTTTATGCTTTTATGTTTTGTGTTTATGTGTATTTATGTATTGTTTGTCTTGAAAATAAAACTTGTTTAAAAAAAAAAAAGTACTGGGCCTAAGACGGAACCTTCTGGCACCCCACAGCTTACTTCCCTCCATGTAGACATAGACCCATTAAGGACTACTCATTGAGTACGGTTTGCCAGACAGTTGTGAATCCATCTAGTGGTGGTGCTATCTATTCCACTTTTTTCTAGCTTACTAAGAAGTAGGTTGTGGTCTACTTTGTCGAATGCCTTGCTGAAATCTAAATATATTATGTCCACAGTATTTTGCTGGTCTACTAATTTTGTCACTGTGTTGAAGAATGAAATGGCATGATATGTTTTTAATAAACCTGTGCTGACTGCTAGTTATTACTTTACTTGTTTCTAGATGTTGGCAGATTTTTAAAATTATCTTTTCCAGTATCTTCCCAGATATTGATGTTAGGCTGATTGGTCTATAGTTTCCTGGGTCTGTTTTTTTCCCTTTTTTGAAGATGGGAACCACATCAGTTCTTTTCCAGTTCTCTGGTACTTCCCCGGTGCTCCAGGATTTTTGGAAGATATGGTGCAGTGGTTTAGAGATGACCTCTGCCAGCTCCTTTAAAACTCTGGGATGTAATCCATCAGGCCCCGGTGATTTATTTTCATCAAGATCGGACAGGTGTTCTCTTCCTATTTTTTTGCTTATTTTAACTTCTATTTCTGGTCTGTCTTTTACAGTTATGTTTTTGGTGGGTTGAGCTATAGTTTCTTTTTGCGTGAAGAGGGATGCAAAGAATGAGTTAAGCAGATCTGCTTTCTCTGTGTTGCCTGTTACTTCCTTACCATCTTCTCTCTTTAGTGGACCGAATGTTTCCTTAATTTTTTTCAATGACCCAGGAGCAGCCACCATTTTGACACAGAGACAGGCATGAGAAAATAGAACTGCTTCCACAAGTCCGCCACATGACCCAGGCATGAATCCCAAGCACATTCAAAATAACGGCTGCTTCCACAACACAGTCATGAAGCCCACAAATGTGTGTCTTGCCTTCCTTCACCAACATGAGATTCAGAGATCTTCAAAAGGTATGGAGAAGGAGGAGGCTGTGATGCCTGGTGGGTTGAGAGTCAGGCCTAACAATTGCAGGGACGCAGTGGGAATAGGAAAATGCCTGTGGGGACCCAAAGGGTAGGGTAGTGGAGGCTAGGCCTCCAAGTGATTCCCACAACCCTGAGGTGGTCACTGTTCTGCTTAACAACTTGAACATTTGTTTAACAGCTTCATCAGGGAGAGAAGGTGATGGGGACAGGCAGTTAAGCAATCTCACTTAACAACCACTGCAACATGTAACCGAAACTGGTAGGCCCCATTACAGTTGTATGTAGAGGACTACTTCTATGGTGGCTGGGGAATTCTGGGGCTCAAAATATGGAGGACACCAAGGTAGAAGGAGGAAATTCCATGTGTGGGAATTCCATAACCAATATACAAAAGATACCACCCAAAAGACTTTTACAGGAATTCCACTACTTCTGCAAAAATGAAATTGCTGCTGATAACGAGAAACTGGTAGTTAGCCCTTTTCCATTTTCCTTTTTTCTCCACTTACAAGTCTAATTCTGAGGTATGTTTTTACCTACATTCCTAATGAGAGATGAGAAATGAAATTAAAGCCTTTTATAAACTCATCAACTTTTCCCTCAATTGGATTTCCATTTGGGCAATAAGGAACTTTATGCCAGTAGCAACATCCACAGTCAGATTAGTCTCTAAGAGTCCTCCGGTATATCGCCAGGTTTGAATTCTGACTGAAATATACCCACAATCAGGTTGCTCAAAAGGTTTCTCTCCTGTGTGAGCCCTCTGGTGTTTCACAGGGTCAGAATTCCCATTGAAACTTTCCCATATTCTACACATGCAAACAGTTTCTCTCTTGGGTCAATCCTCTGATGATTCAGCAGTCAGGAATTCCGACTGAAACTCTTCCCATAATCAGAATATTAAAAGGGTTTCGCTCCTTTGTGAGTCCTCTGATGGCTCACCAGAGTGGAATTCTGACTGAAACTTTTTCCGCAAAGAGGACATTCAAAGGGTTTCTCTCCTGTGTGAGTCCTCTGGTGTTTCACCAGGCTGGAATTCTGACTGAAACTTTTCCCGCAAACAGGACATTCAAAGGGTTTCTCTCCTGTGTGAGTCCTTTGGTGTTTCACTAGGCTGGAACTTTGACTGAAACTTTTCCCGCAAACAGAACATTCAAAGGGCTTCTCTCCTGTGTGAGTCCTCTGGTGTTTCACCAGATAAGAATTCTGACTGAAACTTTTCCCACAAAGAGGACATTCAAAGGGTTTTTCTCTTGTGTGAGTCCTCTGATGGTTCACTAGGCGAGAATTCTGCCTGAATTTTTTCCCACAAAGAGGACATTCAAAAGGTTTCTCTCCTGTGTGAGTCCTTTGGTGTTTTGCCAGGAGAGAATTCTGCCTGAAACCTTTCCCACAGTCAGGACATTCATAGGGCTTCTCTCCTGGGTGAGTCCTCTGGTGTTTCAGCAGGTCAGAATTCTGACTGAAACGTTTCCCACAAACAGGACATTCAAAGGGTTTTTCTCCTGCGTGACTCCTCTGATGTGTTACCAAGTTGGAATTCTGGCTGAAACGTTTCCTACAAATAGGACATTCAAAGGGTTTCTCTCCTGTGTGAGTCCTCTGGTGTATCACCAAGTCATAATTCTGTCTGAAACTTTTCCCACAAAGAGGACATTCAAAGGGTTTTTCTCCTGTGTGAATCCTCTGATGTGTTACCAGGTTGGAATTCTGGCTGAAACCTTTCCCACATACAGGACATTCAAAAGGTTTCTCTCCTGTGTGTGTCCTCTGGTGTTCTGTCAGATGAGAATTCCGACTGAAACTTTTCCCACAAACAGGACATTCAAAAGGTTTCTCTCCTGTGTGAGTCCTCTGATGATTCAGCAGACTGGAGTTCTGACTGAAACTTTTCCCACAAAGACGACATTCAAAGGGTTTCTCTCCTGTGTGAGTTATCTGATGACTTACCAGTTGGGAATTGTAACTGAAACTCTTTCCACAATCAGGACATTCAAAAGGTTTCTCTCCTGTGTGAGTCCTCAGGTGTCTCACAAAGTGGAAATATCCAATGAAATGTTTCCCACAATCTGGACAGTCATACAGCTTCTCGCTGCTGTGAGTCCTCAGATGTATCACCAAGTTGCCATTTTTCTTAAAGGGTTTACCACATTGGAAGCACTTGTAGGGCATCTCTTCTTTGTGGGTTCTTCTGCAAACCCAAAGGATCTGTTCTAACAAAAGCTTTTGCCACATTCAGATAATTTGTATGTGCTTTTTACCAGAGTGGATTCTTCCCTGCTTAATCACTTGCGATTTGAAGTCTGCTTTCTCCATAATAGGCACAACTATTGAGCTTTCTTACCACTGATATTCTTGAGAAGGTCAAAAATATATGTGATCTCTTGTTTAGTGGTGCTTTGATTTAAGCCCTTTTCTCCCTCACAGGGCAACACCTGTATTACTGTCTGCCCTATGTGCCAATCCAATTAACTTTTTCCTCCCCACTCATTTCCAGATATTTTCCTCTTTTTCTGAATGGAAAAATAATCGCCCTTGCCTTTTTTGTGTATTATGTCCTTGAGTTCCACATATTCTATTTTTCCAGCTCAAAATCTCTCATTGATCTTCTTTCCTTTGTCTTTCAACTGCTGTGGAAGGAGAAGAATTGTGTGGTTCCTCTGCAGGAAATGGAGAATATTTTTATTTCTGCCTCAATCTGCTTTGGTTTTCAATATTGCTTGTTATTCTCAGTTGTCCGATGTGGTCTTCTGGTATCATCTTTGTCTGTAAGATTCAAATGAAAATGTAGCTTTTATTGTTTATAAAAGGTTTGCAGAAGATGTGCAAAAGTGTACATTACAATGAAAAAGCAAACATGCCAATATGCTAGAATAATCTCTAACATCAATTCAGATATTCAGTTCCAGTATCCATTCAATCATTAAATTCACTTGTTGACTTAGGTCAGTCACAAATTCTCAGCTCTTCAAAGGGTTATCATCAAATATATACGGTAGATAGATAGAATTCTTTATTGGCCAAGTGTGATTTGATACACAGGGAATTTGTCTTTGGTGCATATGCTCTCAGTGTACATAAAGAAAAAATAAAATACATTCATCAAGAATCATAAGATACAACACTTAGTGGTAGTCATAGGTTACTAATAAGCAATCAAATCATACTAGGAAATAAATAAAGAAGAAAAATATAAGTTTATTATGGTCTTAGACCAGCAATAGACATCACTATTTACCATATATAAAAAAAATAGTACTGAGCCAATAAGTATGTGTGTAAATATCATTTCCCAGAGATTGTTCTATCTCCAAAAATTGGTACAAATTGACAGCTATCGTTCTGTAACCAATTTTCTTTCTTTCTTTCTTTCTTTCTTTCTTTCTTTCTTTCTTTCTTT